CGGGAAAATAAGATGGGAAGGGATTGCCGGGGAGGGGTTGGCGAGAAACGGGTGGCGGAAACATATGACGGGAAGGGGTTGGCGGGAAACGGGTGGCGGGAAACGGGTGGGCGGGAAACGGGTGGCGACACAATACAATTCAGCATGAGCCATGCAACTTCGGCCTAGGGTTGACCAAAAAGTGACTTTTCGGCCTAAACTTGACCAAAAAGTCTATTTCGGTCTAAGCGTGGCCGAAAAGTACTACTTCGGCCTAAGCGTGGCCGAAAAGTGCTACTTCGGCCTAAGTCTGGCCGAAAAGTGCTACTTCGGCCTAGCTATGGCCGAAAAGTACTATTTCGGCCTAGTTGTGGCCGAAAAGTACTACTTCGGCCCAAGATTGGCCGACGGGCTACTAGTTTTGCGTTTTTTTCATTCTACGCTATAGTTTCCGAAATTGCTACAAAAAATAACATAGTTTTGAAAAAAATTCTAAATATGGATGGCATCCTCTTCTAATGCGCTTGAAAGGGGATAGTGTTCTCTCATATATATATATATGGTATTTGAATGAATTTCTCCTTTAATTGTAATTTAATATTTTGGAATAGTGCATCAACTTGTCTAAGTTGTTGTACATACAGACTGGGAGACCCCTTCGGTGAGATCTGCTTGCATGGTGTCAAACAACACCAATACGTGCTAGACTGAGAACAGAGTTATATTTTGTTTGCCTTTTTGGGAAAGAGAGTATCACAACTGCACAACTCATTCAGTGACACCACTGGTTTGCAGTGTGTGATGCCATGCAGGTTCAATGTGCATCAGCATCGCTCTTAACACCCCACAGTGTGTTGTTTATCCTTTGTTCCGAGTACGTAAACTGTCCATGCATGACCATTATTATTGTTCTGCCTTGAGCTCCTGACCAGACTGTTATACCATCATCTTACTGTCAATCCAGGTTGTTTGCCCAACTGAATCAATTTCTGAAAGTTTATGAAGCAGGTTGTTAACCTTACAAAATTCATGAAAGTTTCTAAAATTATGAATTTCTAAAATTATGAATTTCTAAAATTATGAAGTTTCTAAGGCTCAAAAATTTATGAAAGTTTCTTGACAATCCCGAGAGTTTCAAATAATGAAAGCAGCATAAGAATTTCTGAAAGCCCGCGGTCCAAGTTTTGAGCTTTAAAAAAAGAATTTATCTAAAATGGAAACTTTCTAATTTAGGACGATCGGAATTGACCGTGCAGGTCAAGGAAACCCTCATGAGCATAGGATAGATAAAATGGCTACACTTACCACATGGCAGGTGTGGTCAGCCCTTTATTTTGATGAGTATTTGAATCTTGAGAGAAGAAGAAGAAAAGGAGAAGAAAGAAACGGAAAATGGCTACGCTTGACTTCAGACCTTCACCCTGTTTCATAATCTAGAGCTTCTTCAGATTCATCTCAATTTTGGGGACACGACATCGTAGCATTAATTATCCATGTACCACAACAAAACATTAGGTAACATGCTCATGTAGCATCTAGAAAGCTATGTGGTCTTCATCTGAGTCGTTTGATGCGAAGCCAAGAAAATAACAGTCTGGCATTACCCAGTAAATTGATTATTTTTGTTGGTTGTTTGATTTTTGCAGGAGTGTACTGCCCAAGTGATTTTACTAACTAGACTACGAATCTTCCTCGCTATTTAACCAAACAAGTAAATTGGCATCCAATTGTATTTATATATAGTAAAAAAGGAAAAGGATAGGTATATCAAACCAGAAAGATCTATCATCCAGGAAGTGACTTGAACACGACAGTTCTTGCTCAACCTAGTAGTATTTCTAACTTCAACGAAAACTATTGTTGGGGTTTTTATAGCAAAACAAAGAAATGACAGGAATATTAAACCGGAATGTAATGGTATGATGCAAGCTTGGCGTACCAAGTCATTCCTCCATTTAATCACGCTATACATGTAGTACATTTTAGCACTGTCATATTGAAGCCACTTCGTAAAATGATAAACAGTGAGGAATGATGTTTAGAAAAATAAAAACCCAGGAAATCATTGAAATGGCAATGGCACTGGGACAGAAAGATGCAATCTTTTTCCATCGTTTGTCACACTAACCTCAATTAATTTATTCACCCGAGCATTCAACACATGGGTACAATTATTCTATCACACAACAGGATCCTTCGAAATCTAAAGCCAGGAATGTAATGCTACACTGTAAAACAGAACTAAAAAAATATATATGGTATTCATGCGATTTCCCCCCACAAAGGATAAAAATGCTTGTTTCATGGAAATGCGGCCTTTAGGCTCTTGGCTAATTCTTCTAGCTTCTTCAATCCTTCTTCAGGAGAACCAGATTCGCCCAACTGCCTCACCATCGCGCTCCCGACGATCACACCATCTGCACCCCAGCCCGCGATCTGCAATTTTTGTAGACAATATTGACGCAACAAGCTTGTCAAAGATTGCGCAAACGAAGGAAGGAGGATAAAACAAGATATTTTGCCGAGCATGAGAGTTGCTGGATATATATGATTTACCTGCTTCACCTGCTCTGGAGTTGACACTCCAAAGCCAACAGCAACAGCTTTATCTGTGACCTATAATAAATAAGCAGACGATGTTCTATAAGCATCGTTGAACAAGATACGCACTGCACAATAAGGTAGCGGACCAAAACTAGTTTACTGAGCAACAATAAAGAGAAGACTTAGCAAACCTGCTTGATTTCCTTAAGAAGAGCTTCCACCTTGAAACTTACGTTTGCACGTGTGCCAGTAACTCCGGTGGTGCTTACCTGAATAGCAAATATTACTGCAACTTAGGAAGTAGCATATCATGTAACTGCCTAACTGGTTATGCTCAAGCAGGTTCAGTAGAACCACAAATGCTCAACCTCAACAATGTCAACTGAATTCCATTTGTTTATGAATCACAAAGCCAAAGGGAGAAGTTACAGAACATAACCAAGGCGTCTCAGTCTTTGTAAACAGTAGTGTACAGTTCATTATATTTTTCAGTTTACCAATTAGCACAGCTAGCACCAGTATACATGTCAGCACAAAAGCATGTCAACCCAGCTTCTGTTAAAGAGAAAAAGCATGACAGTACAGAAGCATGTGCCTTCTTAAGTTTATGAAGTCAACTTCAGATGATAAATTCCCTCGACAAAATTTAAAATGACAAACTACTGTACTGTACTCTTGTTAAGTTCTGAATACACTACGTTGGCCATTATGAGAACTTTCTGAGTAGCGATAAGGAGAATGTGCTATATGAGAACAGAGTTTAAGGGAACAAAAATAATTTGGAGTTCTGGACACTTACAAGATAAACAAATCCTTCTGAAGCCTTTGTAATTCTCTCCATTCTTTCTGTTGGTGTAGTTGGTGTTGTTAGTAACACCTGGAGGCATTCATGCAAATGAAATAACTTATAAGATATAACAAAGTTGATGTAAACAACTGCACAAACAAAAGAGGCATCTTAAATATTCCAGACTACTTAGCACCTGATGCTGGGTATTATGAAGTTTAAAATTACAGCAAAGCAATGAGCTAATAAGCATAAGACATCATTTTGCATCAGCACTTATATAATAAATATTAAACGGGGTCTTTCTTCAAAGATAAAGATTTAATAAGAAAATTCAACCCTAATGGGTTTAAACACAAAACACAAAAAATGGAAAAAAGAAACAGTTATAAAGGTAGGATACATGATAGATGATAATGTCAAAGAGAGCCTACCAGCTCTAGGTTGTTCTTGGCAGCCTCGCTTCTCAAAATATCTGTCTCTTCTAGAGGAACATCAGGTACCACAAGCCCTGCAGCATGGTAATACATATGTAACTTGATTGTTACAACGAGAACAGAACTTTACAACAGCAAGAAAGTGCCACATTACTAATATCACTGTGCGTCGTGTAAAATATAACTGTGCATATCTGTCTATGCTGTCATGCAACTTTTTAATCCTCAATCGTCTACCTGAAACCTTATGCACTAGTAAAACTAAGATACAGCAGAAACAGTGCCATGTTTCAGAATTCAGATAATTAACAAGGTGACCAAATGAGTTGAAATGGCATTTCAACGTAGAAGAACATCACTGAACCTATGGAAAACTCTAAGGGCATTACCGTGTACACCGGCTTCTTTTACAACAGACATGAAGTTGGCGACACCGCGCTTCAGAATCGGGTTGTAATATGTGAAAAGCGCGAGAGGGCAGGACAGCTCAGGCACCACGTCTTTCACCATAGAGATAACATCCTCAAATGTGGTGCCCTTTGTCAGCGCGCGTGTAGCAGAAGCCTGAAATGATGTGATCAAAAATTAATGTTAAAACGCATAAGCTGAAGAACATGAACACTACATACAGAATACAATAGCACAGTACTTCAGGACATGTGCATATTTAACATTGTAGAGTACCTGAATAACAGGGCCATCAGCCAAGGGATCAGAGTACGGCACGCCCAATTCGATCACATCGGAACCACACGCATCGAGAACCTTCAGCGCCTTCGCCGTGGTCGCCAGGTCGGGGTCGCCGGCGACGATGAACGGGATGAACGCGATCTGAAAATCGCAAACACCATCAGAACACAAAAATGACAGCAACCGTATATAGTTATGGTGGAAACAGGGCATGAATGTAGACGCTGATCTGTGAACAAATCGAATCGCAGAGCAGGTAACATATAATGATATAAACATCACATCTGAGGGGATTTGTTAGTACTCGATATACATATATTAATCCTTTACTAGCAAGAACGAACACATGGAGGACTACAAGTTGCAGAGCAAAGTAAACATGGTCACCAAGACAATACATACAGTAGTAAAATAGAATTATCTTTTACTGGCACCGAATCGATGGAATCAAGACACGAGCAGTCGTCGGGGCGGTAAGAATTTTATCTTACCTTGCCCTGCGCCTTGAGGTTGGTGAAGGTGCCCGAGATGGTGCGCTTGTCCCCGGCCACGGCGGGGGCGGCGGGGGCGGCGGCAGACGCGGACGCCCTGATGGCGGGCACGGGGCGCGCGGCCCCGCGGAGCGCGACCCTCCTGGCCGCGGCGGCGCGGCCCCTCGGCGCCGCGGAGGCGGAGGCGGAGAAGGAGGGGGACGACGCCGCCGCGGCCGAGGAGGCGGCGGCGAGGGCGGGGGAGGCGGAGGCCTTGAGCGCGAACGCCATGGGTGCGAGGGAGGGGAGGGTCGACGGCGGCGGCGGGCGCGCGCGGGAGGTGTTCGACGGCGGGCGGGTTGGACTGGCTGGCTGGGACAGGCGGCGATGTGGCCGTATTAATAAGTTGTCAGTGTGGGTGGGTTGGTGATGGGTGGTGAGGCGAGGCGGATGCGTCGACCCGGCGCCGGCGGGTGGGCCCGGGGCGTTAGCGAGCCGTTTTAGACCGGCACGTGTGGCGTGGGTGGCGTTTTACGTGCTGCTGCTGCTCGTAGAGTAGGTGATGGGCGCCGGTCCTCCGCCGCCGCTGCCGAGGAAACATCCTCGGAAGAAGCCGTCGCCTCTCCCTCCCGGATCCGTGTGATGTGATGAGATGTGATTTGATGGACCGGGCAACACATTTTGTACTACTCCCTTCGTAAAGAAATATAAAAGCGTTTAGACATTGTCGTGGCGATTTTCGATTGGCGGAAGTGACACCGCTGCAAGACATGTTGCGTCTTTTGGTCGTCTCAGCTTCTTTGCGCGGCAGCTAATGTTGTTTCCAACATTGGTTGTCATTCATGAAATTAATTAATGTTGTCCCCGAATAGTTGCAATCGATGTAATGTAATTAGTGCTGCTTCCAAGATTATCTGCAATTGATGCAATTAATACTGGCTCCGGATAATTGCAGTTATTAGATATTCCACTATGGACTACATGTGAAGCAAAATGGGTGAACCTACGCTGTAAAATATGTCTATATACGACACTACACATTAGGGAGGTAGCATCATGCACTAACATCATATGCATGATGCTAACTTATGATACTACCCATTACAAGCAGCCTTAGATCGACGGTTATGTGTTGCACACATCATTTGGGCACAGTGGCGGAGGCAGGAATTAAAGATCAAAGGGGCAAATGACTCAAAATTTTGATAACATCGGCCAAAATATAGTAATACGTGTATTTTTCCTAAATTATACATTGTTCATCTTCAAATTAGGATTAAATGAGAGATGTAGGGGGGGGAGGGGGGCAGGGCCCCTACTGGTCCCCCTGTCTCCACCATTGTTTGGGCATCTCCAAAAGGTTGTGTGTAAGTCTTGTTTGTAAAATGATTATGTGATCGACCAACCAACTAACATACAACTATTTGAATGAGTTATATCTAAGTCATCCAAGAGGAGGTGAAAAAACAATTGTGATTGCTCTCTATTTCACCTTCAAGCTTGCGCGGGTGTTGTTGGTTAATCTACATACAACTTTGCTCTCCCTCCTCATTTATTGCATGCCATCATCACTATGTCGACGAATTTACCAACATCTACCTTTCAATTGTTGGAGATGCTCTTACGGCAACGTGGGTAATTGGATATAGATTATTGAATGGCTAATATCATTTGGATCCATCAAACTCATCCCTTTTATAAGCATGACATAAACGTAGTGCTCGATGGTCATGAGCCCATGGGTTGTATGTGCTCGTGCACATGCAGTCAACTACTAATACCATCCTCTCTAGAAAAAACTACTGATACCACTATTGGATTTCTCACGCTCTTGAAAAGAAGCTATTGATGTCAGTAAAAGCTAAAATTTGACTATCAAACTATATACTTGATCTGTATGCACCAAAATCAAAAATCACGAACCCGCTGATGAACCCCCAAATTTTCCAAAACCCAAAACAGGGGGTCGAGGTGAAGTGACTGGGATGTCGGCGAGGAGGTCATCATTGAACATGTCGAAGTTGATCTCTTCTTCCAAAGTGATGGCATCTATGGATAACCCTTCTTTGTTGAAATCGTCGTTGGACGGAGTCCCTGGCTCAAGGTTCTTTGGAATGGTATCCATTAGGAGATTCTTCCTCTGATGGGAGAGTTAACGACAGAGATCCATCTATGTCCCATGGTGGGCGCCAAATGTCAACGAATAACGGTCTGCCAATTTCATAATTTGAAGGTTCTCATGAAAGGATGTAGTGAGAGGGGTGGTGCCCAAAGGGATCTTGTCAGCAACAATGGCGACACCGTGGTTTCACCTCGGTTCAGGCCCCAGATGGGTAACAACTCTATGGCATGCCAACCTGTCCTTATTGATGATCATAGATGATTATAATGGTGTTTTTCCTATCTACTGAGCTACGTATGACACAAGTATATGATCTCATGTATCTTTTGTCCTTTAGTGGGGATTTGACCCTATATAGGTTGTCCCATGCCGGTTGTTAGTCACCTATCTCAAGGGATATGATACACCAGGCGGTCATGCAATAATATGGGGATAAAATCTCCCACTATCGCAAAATCTCTTAAATATCGCTCTTAGTCCTTATCCTTTATAGTGCTTGCTTGAGCCCATCGAGGCGCATGACTCTGGAGTGCTTCGGCACTCGAGTTGGTAATGAATTCGGATGCATCTGCATCACTTCTCTCTTTGAGTGGGTATCCTTACTCATCCACAAACAGTAAAAAAAAGTGTATGTATAGGGAGATAATACTCACATGAATTTTTCATTCATTTTGTGTACGAGGCTTTGCAATCTCTTATAATATGGGTTCAAATGAACCAGAGCATAAGGGATTGTAGAGGAAGAAACACAACAAAAAAGCACCCGATCCAAGGGCAAACCAGAGCCTAAATTGCACCACAGGGGGACAGAACTCAGCACACTAGAAGCAAACCTTCATTGCCCTCATAAAGAAAAAAAAAGTGAACCTCACAGTGCCAGAGGAGCATCACCACTGTGGACGAAAAGCACCAGTCACCGAGACCAACCATGCATTTTTTTGAGGGAATGCCATCATGGCTTGCTTTATTGATTAACTTAACACACTTACATCGTTCACAAGAGATTCATGAATGAAAGAGGGGGGGGGGGCTCATCTATCCAATTACAAGATAAACGATTCTCATAGCTATACTTAGCAATCTCATGCGCGACGCCATTGGCTTCCCGAAGACAATGAGTAAACTGAACGGAACCTATCTCCACAACTAGATCAACACAATGTGCAAAGATCGCAGCTCCTTCATGCCACCAATTATTTCCTCCTCCACAAGCTTCAACGACTTCCAAACAATCAGATTCTGCCACAATTCTATTGTAACCTGATGATACCGCTAGCTTTAGACCTTCTTTCATAGCCTGGGCTTCCATCATAGAAGCTGACGAGGCGTTTGGGAAAAAAGAGCAAGAGCCCCCAAGGAAATTCCCGTACATATCTCTCAGGATTGCATCCGTCGAGCCAACTCCTTCATCATTGTGATAAGATCCATCCACATTTAGTTTAATATGACTAGAATCCGGCTTGGTCCATTTAGTTAAGCTTCTGTCCCCATCTCGCTGGCTTGATTTTGTAAAGTTTGTGCACAGAGCCAATATAGAAAGCTTCCAACTTGCCGCTGGCGGAGTTCTCTCCTTATGCGTGACCGATCTTATGATCCACCATAGGTACCAGGTAGCGATCGCCACAACTTCTACGATTCCTACTTGGGGTCCGGGATAGTGGCCTGTTGATGAGTCCAGTAGCTCTTCCAGTATCGCAGACCCCGCACGATAAAAAATGCATGCATCCGCAATCAGTTTATCTAGATGTAACATTTTCCAGAGCTCTTGCGCCGGGGAACAATCAAACAGAAGGTGCTTCAAGTCTTCTGCATACGTATGACCAATCAGGCACAAGCTGTCCGTCCCTATGTGTCGATTCACCAGAACTGATTTAACCGGAATAGCTCCATGTAGTACCTTCCACACAAAAGTTTTAACTTTCCCTAGAACAGATAGTTTCCATACTTTCTTCCATATGGGGTTTGATCCTCTTGAAGACGAAGCCATATATTGGTAGAAATTCCTGAATTGGTGTCTCCATTCAACATGGTAGGCCGATCTCACCGAGAACATTCCGTTTCTATTATAATGCCAAGCAACAAAATCATCAAATCCATTCAAGCTTAACGGGATACTCAAAATTCTAGCTGCGTCGACCTGAGTAAACAAAGACCGAACCAGATCTTCATCCCATTGTCCCAATTGTGGATCAATTAATTCAGACACCTTTGTAATAACAATATTTCCTCTTGGCATCATTACCTTTCTGTCCGGGCTTGTAGGGACCCATGGGTCTCTGCCATATATCAATGGAGTCACCGTTTCCAACTCTCCAAATACATCCTCTTTTGAAGGTTTGGATACCTGCAAAAAATACTTTGCCAAGTGAAAGAGGACCCCTTTTTTGGTCCAGCTTCAAGGATACTTTGGTTTGGATAGTATTTTGCCTTCAAAATCCTAGCACATAGTGATTCAGGGTTGCACAACAATCTCCAAACTTGCTTAGACAACATTGCTAGGTTGAAAGAATGAAAATCACGGTAACCCAGCCCGCCTAGACTCTTTGGAAAACAAAGTTTCCACCATGCAAACCAGTGCATTTTTCTACTGTTTTCATCATCTCCCCACCAGTATTTAATGATTACATTCGCCATGTCTTTACATATTTCTTTAGGGATTTTGAATACTGACATCGCATAAACAGGAATAGCCTGGGCCACAGCCTTTAATAAAGTTTCTTTTCCTGCAACAAACTCCCCAGCTTTCCTTTTTTTTCGAGACATACGCATACGGCATATCCACCCATTAGATTTTTTTAGGGACATATCCACCCATTAAATGATAAACTGGGCTGCACCAACACCTCCAAAAAAAAACTGGGCTGCACCAAAAAAGGATGATAAACTGGGCCTGTGCATATGGATACGCCTCGCGTGTCTCGCTAGGAGAGGAGGCCCTATCAGATCCGTCTTGGGCTGATAAACTGAGCCTTTTTCTTGGCTCCGTCCCGCGTGTCTCGTTCATGCGCTTGCTGCCGAACCTTTTTCTTTCTTGTTTGTTTGTTTTTGTGTGAAACTAGACTGGAGGAGAAGGAACTTGACCGATTTAGATGGATGCTTGGACTCGTTCATATGTGTTCCTGGAAGGGGGAAGGGAGGAGTCGAGGGGTGGCAATGTTTTGGAGAAAAG